CTTTTCTAGCTCTGGTGCTTTTCCTAGGTTCAGGTACAGAACTTGCACCACCAGAAACATCTTTAGCTTGAGTAGTACTCTTGCTGGAAGATTGATGAATCATGTCAAGTGAAATATGGATTTAATAGCACTTGGAAATCTGAGAATCGTGATTATCACTATCAAATCGAAGTATTTGGGTGGTACTCCCAAATCCCCAATTGGATAAGACTCAGAAAATCCAGAGAGAAAGAAAGAGAATGAGAGTGTATAATTTCGTGAGTACCAGAAAAAGAGACCAAAAACTAACTTTTAGATCATTGTCTAAAAACTGTCACAAAACCACCAAAACGGTCATAAAAACGGGCGCTGCCCCCGGACCCCCGCTCGTTCAGGGGCTTCGCCCCTAAATGACACTGTACTTTGATATTCGATCAAATTTAAACAAGTGTGTACTCCACACCTTCCTTACTTGTTTAATATTTATCAATATCACTTTTGGTCAACAAAGTAATTCCATTACATTTAAATAACATTGATGATAACAAATCACCAACAGTTAATTAAGTAATAATTAACTTTAAAACTAAAATTGAAATATATTAAGCATATAAGAGAACACGAAAGGAAAACGTAAATTCGGAAAACCAAAATTACTAAAACTTTTCCATATATAATAATAATAGGTTAATATAATAAAAGGGTGATTAAATAAATTATATATTAAAATAGAAAACATTCTTTAATATTAAATTGCAATTGCAACCTTTCAATATTTGAAAGGTGTTGGTCTACATTGCAAATTGGAATGCGTGGCATTGCAAATTGAATCGATTACTGTGGGCCCTCTCGTTTCCTCATCCCTTCGCTTCTACTTTCTTATTCAATCTTCAGCGACAATTTTTGACTAGCTGATGAAAGTCGGGATTCGTTTCGTCGCTTTAGATAGATAATTGATACAGAGATGGTGAAGGGATCGATGGAGGATTTGGTGCCGACGGTAAAGTCCGAAGTAAACACATGTTCAACGAAGACATGTAACTTGAAATCGATGGAGGCCTACAAAGAAGCAGACTTACACTAACCTCCAAAATTTCTCACAACGAACAAATCATCTCTCAACATGCTCTATCTCACAACATCCCTACATCCTTTCCCAAAATCAACACTAAATTCTACCACTCCCTTCGCGAACTCTGTCGCGTGAAACCTCCAATCCTCCACCCTCGATACTTACCGAAGATTGCCTCTGAATCCGACATTGACACCGGTGGAGTATGGAGGTGCTACGTCGTTGACTTCATCCATAGATCAATCTTGCTTCACACGCACTTTAATCCCGTAAGGTTTTGCTAATACATAATTCTTTTTCTGATATGAACCTATTATTGTGGATTTAATTGTCGATTTGTTGATATTTTGAATGCCTGAAATTTCAAATTGGTCGTCTTCTTCATCAAAGTATCAGTCCTGTTTTGTATTTGTGCATAAATTTTTTGAAAGTCATATTGTAAAAAAAGATCTAGAGTTTTTGGAACAAGAACCTTGGACTTAGATTTGGTATTTAGCTAATCTCTCACTTCTTAGGAACTTTACCTAATATGAAGTTGATTAAAATCAACAACCATTTGCAGTGGAAAATGTCTTATAGAATAAATTTCATCCCTCAAAATCTTTGTTCTCGTGTTATATAAGTTTTTTTGAAAGTACATTATTTTTCAGAAGCTCTCTTTATCTTCTAGCTTTATTAATGGTAACAACTGAATATATAATTGACACCAATGTTGCAAAACATCTCAAATACCAAAGCTACATAAGGATCTTTAACAAATGAATGAATAGATTTAAAATTCCTTTCGATAGGAACTTATCCCATCAAAATATTTAATTTAACTAAACCTACAACCTAAATACTTGCTCTTTGATCAAAAATGTAATTTTTCAATCTCTTCTTTGTTGTTGCTATAAAAACTCTTGATGTTAATCAACTCCTGTTGCTTTTTTATTAATCTCTTAAACATCAAGTAGGTTCATAATAAATAAATAAAACATAAAGTGTACAATGCTATTATTAGATAAATATTCGAAAACAACCATGCATTAGATTGTAGTTTGACTCATTTACTTTTGTTTGACTTGGCATCTGACCAAATTGAAGCTGAACTAGCATAGATATATTAAATATAACTTATAACGAGCATGAAAAATTGTTTTGCATATTATCAATAGAGTAAAAACTTTCATTACTACATGTTTGTAAAGAGTTAAATCTTGTATATGTTTATTTATAGATTTACATGATGATGCTATTATCATTTTTCTTTTGCTATTATCTGCAGATTAGTTTCCAAGAGCTTAAGAATAACTTTTAAAACATTGTTAGTCAATCTTGTATATGTTTATTTGTATATTTACTTGTTATGTTCATTTATCAACGTATGTTCATATACGAACATAAATGGAAATATGTTTTGATAATAACATACGATGAATAATAAAAGGAATCTTATTCGTATATATAATGAAAGCTTTTCTTAGAAAAATCCATTGTATATATATTTCTAACATGATGAATCATATCTCTTGTTTATTTGTTCACAGGAGAAATAAGCAAAAAAAAAAAAGCTATCAACATATGTTCAACTGTGAGCATCAATATATTTCATCAACAATTGCAAACGAGCGCCATTTTAGTGCCATCGATGAATCTAAAGGTGAAGTTAAAGACGATGGTGGGATTTGCACTTGTAACAGGAATAAGAAATAAACCCACATGAACTTATGTTCACGTATGAACATATGTTCATATATGAATATATGTTCATTTATGAATTTGCTTTATTTTTTTTCTTCTTCTTTCAATTGGTTTATCATTTGTTAAAAACTAACCATATGAATATGTATAAGTTGATTAGATAATCTGGAAAAGTTAATTCAGCATAAACGAACATATGTTTATAGATGAACATATGTTCATAAATGAAGTCCTGTTTATTTTACCATCATAGCCTTAGTAATATAATTTAATCCAACGGTTTGGATGGTGGTTATGTGGTTAGGCAATATAATTTGGTTATGTGTTGAACCCATTATATATATAATAATATAGATATATTATATATATATAATATACGATATATCTATATAATATTCTGTTGGTAGTACTTAAAGAAATTGTGGATGTTTGTGTGGTAGATTGGGAGCTTTAAACAAAAATTGTCTACTAAATGTATAACTACGTATTATAAAAAAAATGTTTTGTTTTATGCAATGAATTTCTTATGTAAATGATTATTTCTTAATTTTAGCTCAAACTTTTTGCGAGTATTAGTAAGATCATGTCATTTTTTGTTTTATACAATATATTTCTTATATAAATGTTTCTTTCTCGATCTTAGCTCCAATTTTTCGTCGAATATTAATAAGATCAAGTCATTAGTATTGATTTGACAATTAATCAATGATAAAACATACAGATCGATCAAATAAAATAAGTATATATATATATGATATATATATTATATATAGATATATATATATTATATATATAAGCAAGTTGATATGTTATGTCAAATCACCAAAATATATTATATGATTTGGAATAATTTTTATTTTATATATTTATATATCTATATATCAATATCAACTATAAAAGAGACCAAAATCCTTAAACAATATTCATTTGAAACTTATAACTTTTCAATTTATCATATAATTACTACAAACTAAAAGGCTTTTTATAATTGTATTAAATATTACTCTAATGCTAAAATTATTTAGCTTTTAACTAATTAACTATTATAACTCAAAAGTTTTTTTAACTTATGATATCTTAATTTGGTTGATTCGAGTATAATAATAAAGACAAATTCACTTAGACCAAAATTCATTTGAAACTTCATAACAACTCAAGAGTTTTTTAATTTATGTGTAATTATGTTGTAACATTCTTAAAATAATAGTAAATTTTTTCATTTTTAAACCATCAAATCGTACAACTATTTGTTACAAAACCAAACAAAGTAACATTATTCGTCAAACATCAGAGTAAGTCAAAAGTAGTCAATGCGGAAAAAACCATTAGGGGATGTTGTGCAGTCGAGCCGGGTCATTCATTTTGGAACTGGAAGTGCCTGAAAATGTTTAAACCACAAAATTATAAGCAAAAAGCTTAGTGAGTTTCCTAAAATACCACATACCATACATATGATAGGAATGTTATGTGCCAACTATAGTCTTACAATCACTATGAGCCATGAGCCACATCATGGTCTTTCCTTGTAATATCGGGGATAAAACCGGATCTTACATACAAGTGTCAAGAGCCACCTCCTGGTCTTCCATGCAAGCATCACAAAGACAACTAGCATCCTACATATAACTACCAGGGTCCAGACCCTAGTCTTGCATATAATTGTCAGGAGCACATACGACCACCTTCCGATACAACTACTAAACCCATTCTTAGAAGAGTCACACGTCCTGACGAAACAATTAACATTATAACGCCACACTTATCCAACCAATAGAAAGTCCAACAACTCTGCCCGAAATTTAAGAATCTTACACCGTGTCTGACTTCCAGTCAGACATAACCGACCAACCATATCCATAATGGCTCTAATCCGCAACCTGATCCGACCAAAACCCCTATGACCCTGTGTATTCCACTAATAGCGGGCAAACAGAATTCTTGGTCATTCTCCGATGATGATTACCTCGCTTTCGAATACGAAAGTAGCTCCCAACACGAGTCTCAACCATAACTAAAACGTTCCTTTAGACTATTTATTTGATAACTCATTACCAAAAAAAATTCTTTTGTATTTTACTTTAAATATTTTTCATTTTTTTACAACAAAAATCACATTATTTTACAAAACTAAAGTTTCTATTAAAACTATTTTTTTAGTAAAACGATATATTAGTATTAATGTGTTACTACATTGAAGTTTTTATTTAATATACAATTTTTTAAATTCTTAATAAACGTTATATAACATTAAACCACTACAACTCAAAAGTTTTTTTTAAAAAATTTATGGTACTTAGTTGATATTTATGATATTTAATTAAATGAGATTTAACTATAAGCCTCTAATATTTGTGTCTATTATTTATATAAAATAAATTATATAAAACAATGAGTTATTATATAAAAACATTATGTTTTGAGGATAAAAATAAATAGAAATTGTTATTTGCTATTAATTGAAATGTGTTAATAATTAAATGACATATTTACTGTTGATTTAGGTGTCTAAGCCATAACTATAATTGATATAAATTGAATTGATGGTAGCAAAGTCTTTTTAGGTTGCCCTCAAACCTATCAATTGGACATGATGTTTTGGAGAGAGAGGTTGACTTATTATTGGATTAAAATTTGAAATAAATAATTTGTTAATATATTATGAAAATAATATATTATTTAGAAATAATAATATTTAATTAATGTTTAATCATAAATTAATTGGAATTAATTTTGTGATTGAAAGAATTAATTGAAATTGCAGGGACTAAAGTGTAATTGTTCAATAGTTGAACAAGAGACATTCTAGAACCTCCTTGAAGCCTTGGACGGTTTTGAGGTGGGTTTTAGGGTTCTAAAATTATCCTTGGTGGATAATTAGGAAGCTGGATAATTACACAATTCAAGATAATATTATTATATTGGTTTTGAGTTTATCTAAAGTTTCATTGCTGCACTATATAAAGGGGCTAACCCCTAGCATTTTCGACACTCATTCCTTAAAAGAGATAGGCCGAAATTCTAATCTCATCCCTCCCCTCTCCTCAATATCCTTCTTGCTTGTGTTGGGTGTGAACCACTAGAGTCACGACGCTTGTGGTGCTTGTTTCCAAAAGATCAACAAAAGGGATTCTTGGTTGTTTACTTCAACAATCAATAAGGTATGTATTCCTACTAATGAATTCAAGTTTGAACAGGAAAATTTTGTAGATTGATAGTTCATAGTATGTTGTCTTTACGTGAAAGACATAGATCTTTCTTAGGTTGCATCTGCCATAATCATTTAATTGTTAAATGTTTTTTCTGCTTAGAGCATTGTTGTAACCTCCATAACCCATCATTTACAGCTAAAACATTGGTTTAGAATATTTATTCCACAACTCTCTGTCATTTTATTCTTTTTCATTTCACCTGATTTTTTTATTTTCTTTTTAAAAGTATCAATATTCAATTTTCATAGCACATTATCGGTCATTACTACTAATATGACAAAACTCAAATTTCTGTTAAAACAAATTTTTTATTAAAGCTATATATAAATACTAATATGTTTATACTTTTTATTAGTGATTTTTTGGAATATTTTCAAATCACAAAGGTTTTTATAAAAAAAAAATATAAAAAAAGGTTTTTATGTATATGATCCAAAAAAGTTTTTCTTTAAAATGGCTAATTAAATATCAAAAATAACATTAACATTTCATGTCAATATCTTAATATTATATAGCTATTTCATATTATGTTAGAAAATGGTAAAGGTTAAGATTAAATGTTTCAATAAAAAATGATACATATGAAACGACAAAATCATAAATTTTCAACAATACACAAAGGTTAAAATATATCCATAATAATAACTATTGATTTGTGATACAAATACCCTTAACATCTCTAACACTTTCCGCTACAATTATAACATTATAGTATAATTGACCAATCACTTAATTGATTGAAACAGTACTCTTATACTTAGAAAAATGATTCAGCATCATGAAATATACATCGAAGTTTATTTTTGGTTGCTCCAAGATCTTTCATGCCTACAATATAACACAGCAATGCATTTATGTAGTATCTATTTATAATAAATGAAATATAAAAATACCATGCAAAATAAATTTAAAAAATAAAAAATATAGAAAGAAACCTGAGACAGTGGGTTGTATCATTTCCTTGACTTTGAATCTTTGATATTGTTTGTTTTAAACAAATCAAATGGTTTGATTATTTAAGTCTTTAATATACACAAAAAAGATTGTATAACCCCAACGTATTTCATCATTGAACTCTTTCTTTTAGACATATACAACTACAACATTCTTCTCAATTTTATGTATTCTGCATAACAAACTTTGAAAGAGAAAGAAATCAAGAATGAAAACAAAAAATGAGAAATGTTGTTCTTATATAGGTAAAATATTTCAATTAATATATCAATTAATTAGAATAAGCTGAAGAGTTAGGAGGTTTCAAATGAATATGGTTCAAGATATGTGGCTTATCTTCTCCATATTAATTTGAATAGCCTCATTTATAAGAGATAAAAAGATTTAAGGAAAATGTCTATATCTAAAGAAAAATACACTTCACCCAAGCAAATTAAATATAAAAAACTCAAAATCTAATCTAAATTCTAAAAGACACTTTGTCCAAACAAACTCTCACTTTAAAATCCTTTTCAACTACAATGTGGGAAAGTAGGATTGAAAGTGTGAAAATAATAGTGCTTTAAGAAGATTTTTTTTAAAAAAAAAAAAAAAAGACATTTTGACGGGATTAACGTTGTGTCATCAAAACCGGTACATGAACTTTTACCTTAAGAGTCATTAATGATTCAATATTTTACGTACATAGTTGATCAAACTATTAGTTCATTGGAGTGAAGGTTTGAACAATACAAATAATATAAAGACATTTTTGGCTTTTTATTCACAACAAAAAAGTTGAAGTCACTGAATGCTAGTGAGTTAATGGCAAGTTGCAAAAATCTTGAAAAGAGGTTGCAAAATGGTCATATCTCAAACATCGATGCTGATGATTTATCCAACGAACTGGATTTGTTACAAAAAGATTTACCAATTGAAAATAATACAGGTTATACAATACTAAATTTA